GGCAAGGCCGGCCGCGTCTGGCGCCGCCGAGGGGAGATGGGGAGCGGAGGAGGACCGAGCTCTCCCAAGCCGGGTCGGGCTTGGTCGGGGCTGGGGGAGCAGCCGGCTCTCGGAGCGATCCTCCCAGCAGCCCTCCGGTGACGCGCTCGGGTGGCATTTCGAGCTCTGCCGTGTAACATACTGCGCTAAGCCCCGTAAATAGCCGATCTCTGGTGACAGAAAGCTTACCTAGTTATAAATACTTAGGGTCTGGACAACAGGGGCTCTCAGCGCCGAGCAGCCAGAAACTGCTGCATCTGATTAGATGCTCTATATTTAGATGATGACCGAACTAAGTCATTTAGGGACTGGGACACTAAAACCGTATAAACACCTCTCAAAACCTTGTAATTGCTTTTAAAGAGAAGTAGCAGGGTGGGAAATGCAGCAGAACCCTCCTTAACATTAGTAAGTATATAGGGTTAAGACATTGAAAATATACTAATTTGGGAATGTAGTTTATTTCAAGTTGAGAACAAATTAAAACCAGCTTCATGTAAGTAACTCTCTTCAGGCGCGTGTAAGTCACAAGCTTTCAAAATGCTTGGATGCTTCCAGCAACTCTGTAGTTATTTAGTCTTAGGAAGCTCAAAGTCATGATGTGACGCTACTGGTATGGGAAGATTAGTTCAACGGACAAAATAAAAGTGCTTAAACAACTTCTGCTAGGAACTCTTCCTGACAGAGGGGCTTCCAAGTTGCAAATATGAAAAAGACCTACTCAAGAGTTGTTTTGAGGAGTTCCTGTTGCCTTTTATATTAATTTGCACTAGCCCCACACAGGCGTATTTGGGCAAAGGATGAAATACTCCTGTTCAGAATAGTCATTTTTACAAATCTTCAGTGAAAACCCTGCAACTGTGCTGTTAAAGAAAAGTCAGTATTTGGAAGGTGAATCAAGATCTAGAAATCAAAAGCTGAAAATAGGTTTCAGATTCTTCCATCAGATGTTTGTCATTTTATGCAATACTTCCCTTGACCTCCAAAGCAGGTAAAATGCTGCAATTTGACTTCAGTATGTTGACCTTTCTCAGAGAGCTTGGCAAAAGCCCAGGGTCAGATTGAATTTCTTTAAGAGCATCTGCACAGTATTATATCATGTCAGTCCACATGTTTTCTGTTAGGAAAAAACACACAAATAAGGTGCATACACACAGCAAATCTCCGTACAGTCTATTAAGAGGAAATTAATTTTCCTCAGAAGATGCATTTGTTTACTACCTGCTTACCTTACCCTGTTTTACTGCTTATGATTTTTAGTAAATTCTTTTGCAATGTTTTTAATAAGGAATAACTTAAAAATCTGTATTTTCTTAAAATATTTCATAAAGATATCACAGCATCACAAATCTGTAACATACAAAGTGACTTGCACAGCAAACCTGCAGGACCAGAAGTCAAACTTCTGCTTCCATTTGTGTCCTCTACTCTGGGTAAAGTTTCTTTAATTTGTAGCTTCGTGGTTCAGGGTTATGCTTATTTAGTGTAAAATTGCCACATGCATGTTTGGCACTAATTATACCTTATCATCTGAGCAGCTGTGCAATTTCCTCCACTTCACAGGCTTTAGGTCTGCTGGGCAGACACTACAACAACCTGCTTCATCCCATCCTGCTCGCTCTGCTGGAGGCAGCAGTGTTAAGCATTGCACCTGTGTAACTCCTGCCCTCTGTGGCTACTCAGATTGTTCTGCTATATAGGCATAGCTGAGGTTTGTTTTCCAACAAAATAAAGTATGGAAGAACAAGAGTGAAATATCAACATCACCAAGCTTGTCAACATTCTGTTGATTTTTATGTGAGAAATAAGAACCTTATCCATTCCCTAGTAATAGCAAGTCTTTCTTCACATAAGTTCTCAGTGAGGTTCTCTGGTTAACTGGAGAACTGACAGGGAAAACGTGCATCTGGAGATGGGCTCTGAAGGAACGTGGCCAAGGGCTGTGTTATTCTGGAAAGCTAGATTTTATTTTAGTATTTGAAATGTAGAAGGATCTTTCACTGATCATTCAAGTCTTCTTACACAGTCAGTTCTCCGTATTTTTTAATAGCAACAGAAGATTGCATACTCTAGCATTCAAAAATTAATTAGTGTAGATTTTTCAACATAAAATATAAAACTACATTTACTGGCTGAATAGTATCAGTTATAAGGCTGAGATTCTATTTACCAAAGTGCTTCTTTTAAGCTCAAAAAACCCCCTTGTTTTAATAAACTGGGCAGTGAACCATAATACAGATTCTCACCAGCTGACTGCATTTAATTTACTCTGCAAGTCTGCTTTTGCTCTCCAGTAACTAAAAAAAAAAAGAGTCAGTCTGTAATAGTTCGTTTTCAAAGCACTACGTATTTATCTTTCTCAAGGATGCAGTGATCCAGGCTAACTTACATAATGTAATGCTTCATATTTACCCAACAAGGAATTAATTTTCCTTTATAAATTATTACCCATGAAGTCACTGATCATTTTTGTGAGCCCTTTCCAGAAGTTTAAATTGAAGCCTTTAACTTCAGCCATGTAGCAGAAAACTCTTTTTAGAGAAGTTCATTTTAAATAATTAGCAAATAGCTAAGCTTGAATAAAAAAGCAAAACTGAAGTTGATGACTTACATACCAAGAAAATGTAAGCATCATTAGGCACTTTTGACTTTTTAAGTTCAAAACTTAAAAGGGCATCCATCAACGGTTACTGGTTTCAGTCTGAGTCCAGATAATTCAGCTGTGTGCAAAAAAACCCAGAAGGTGAAAACTGGCTCTTAGTAGTGCTCCTTAACCTTTCTGTACTGAAGGAACACTCAAACTTTGGTGGAGAGTAGAGGCTGACTCTGGTTTGCTTTGGGTAGTATGGTAATTATTAGCACTTAGATAAACAAAGTTAGCTTTACTGTTACAAGTATGGTCACATTCATTTATCTGTTAATGAGTTAATAAACTGCTAATATAACATTCAATTACAACAGGCCACCCAAAATTCATCACTACTTGGTTTTTTGGGTTTTTGTTTTGGTCAGGTTTTTTTGGTGTGGTTTTTTTTGTTGTTGTTTTGTTTTTTTAAGACTGTAAAATGCAATTCAATTAGAAGACCTGAAAATACCTACCAGGCTGCATTTAGGATTGATGCCAGAAAGTCACTGACTTGCACCAGACAGAATAAAGACTTGCAGGGGAAAAAAAGACGGAGGCTGTTCTGGTAAGGAAATTAAAAGAATCCACTTCAAGTGAGACAGTTTCCAGAGGGTCAGTTTAGTATGCTCAACAGGAACAAACCAGAGGTGCCAAGGAATGCTGGATGCGTTAGAATTTCACTGGGACAAGCAAGGTCCATTTGGGAAAATACACCACTAGGAAGAGGGGGGGGAAAAAAAAAAAAGGCAATGTGCTAGCGGCAGTTTTGCTTTGAGGAACTTGTAACTCAAGGAAAAAGTAAAAAGGGTCAGAGCCACACTACAGAGCTTTCCTCAAATGGTTTACATGCAAAGGATTTTTCTGAATATAGACTAGATACTGGAGGAGAATTTAGGCATTATGAGATGAAAGTAATCTGTCCTGTCGTTTATGACAGCTAGAAGGATATAGAGCAAAAAGTTGCAAGGTGGGTGTAGAAGATGACTACAGACAGCAAGAAACAGAGGCTTGCAAAATTAAAAAAAAAAGCAGCCAGCAAAACACACCATTAAGGAATACGCATAGAGAGAGACACTAGACCTATACAGGAAACACTGGAAAAATGCTTGAAGAAATTAATATTAGGTTTGTGGCAACATTTGGCAAAGGTATAGTCTATGGAAATTTTATATTCGTTCACCACAGTGAAAGATAAGCTCTCTGGATATGCACCTTAATCTAGTATTAAGTGAGGTAGCTGAACTGGTTGGTGTGTGCGGGGGGGAGATCTGGAAAACATAATTCCTTCCAAAAACCCAGGCTGATTGGGGGGGGTTGGGGAAGGTAGCCAGATGTTAAGAATCTGTAAGAAAAAGTTTGTGAAAAAAATAAGGAGCTGTAGCAATGCAACGAGTTAAAACAATGCCATAGCACATACTTAAAGAAGTCAACCTAAATGAAAACTAAGCTGTTTAGTTTACCGTGGGGATAAAGAAAACCCTGCCCTGGATACACACTTTGTGAAAATAGCCATATCAGGTCCTGAAGGGAATTTCTGCTGACCAACTTCGAGGTCAATGGGGGAAATTTTCAAGTAGGGAGTTTTAAGAGGAACTTGAGCCATGTTCCCTTGTTTCAGCTGAATTAAAAAGTGTCAAGAAAATCCTTGTAAGATGACATGTGTTTCTGTTAAATCATTGCAAAGTATTGCAGCACCTATGCCTCGTAACTATGATGAAACCTGGAGAATTTAAAGCTGGTGTTAAAGTTTTTCATCACAGATACTTGGTGGATTCGTAGAACAGCTGTACTGGATCAGCAAAGGTTCAGCTAGGTGAGCATCCTGTTTGTGATGATGGCCATCAGGGGATGCATACCTAGGAAAAAGTTGTAAAAGCATAACAAGAATATAATAATACTTCCCCAGAACATTCTTTTACTCTGATTCGCAATCTTGAGGATCTCCTGAGAAAGCATTTTTTTTGAACAGCATGAACTTTAACATCAACAAAAATTGTGCAGCGAGGAGTTCCACCACTTACGCTTGTGTGACTGAGGGCACAGCTCTCCAAACATTAACGTGTTTCATTCAGTATTTTATACGAGATGATGAAAAATGGTTCCCTACTCAGCACAATTGCAGCTTATCATTTTATCAAAATACTTCAGCCACCTGAGCAAACTGTCTTGTCCAAAATGAAGATTCCTGCTCCAGTGAATTGTTCTTCACATGAGAGCACTTTTGTGCCTTTTATCATCTTTGTTTTTCTCCCTATCCTTTTCCAATTTTTCTCTCTTCTGAAGTTTTGTAGTGCTGGAGTAGGGACAGGCTGCAACAGGGGGAACAAAACTGTTCTACAAAATAGCATTCAAGATTGTATTTATTAGTAGAAGTAGTGCCTAACTAATTTGTTCCTTAACTATTCTTTTGCCCCACCTCAGTCTATTTTGACGTAGCCTATCAAGATTTATGATCCTTTTTTCCTTATTTGGACACAACTCTAGTTTTCAGTGGATTCATTTTTTCCACCTTAGAAGAAAAACTGAAAAAGAAATCCCGTCCTAAAGTCTTCACATATTCAGGAAGTTCTCATCAACACACAGAACTTGTCAAAAGTGGGAAAAAGACTAATTGTAACTACAGGCTGCTGTGGTAAGCCAGCTTGTATCAGAGAAAGCTTTCTACTGATACTAGCGTGTCCATTGTATGTGCTGATAATGATCATGTAAGCCCAGAGGCAGTGATGAGATCTGTGAGGGTTTCTGTGGCAAGTGGCCAGCTGGTAGCCAGAAGCCCATTGCTTCAGCTTCTGTGGATGCAGCAGTAAATGCCTCGAGTGTTTTTGTCAGGTCAGAGGTATTTTTAGTTCCAGCAACCAGTTCCTCCGACAACATGGAGTATGTAAAAACAGTATAGGGTAAGAGTTAAACAACATTAATTATTACCCTCAAAAAGTTATTTGTGCTTCAGTTAAAGTCTTTCATCAAACACTTCACAGGAATTGTTACAGAAGCAGTTGTATAACCAGGATATTGTTTCATTTACCATTTGTTGGCTGAGGATGTATGGAATCAATTTGACACTATCCTCCATTTAAATGATGCACAGGAAAAACTGAAGCATTTTCAGAATGGTTAAAGAGAAAATAAAAAGCGATAGGACATAAATGTTATGTTTCCCTAGCAAGAATGTTGAATACATGACAAAAGCAAAATCCGATTTATGCCAACAGGCAGAATGCCCAAGGTGATACTATGAGAGCGCCTGAACAGAGGCCTATTCCTCCTCATACATAAGGGTAAGTTTTGAGGCTTTTGAAAACCAACTTTTTGAAGCACATGGGCAGCTTGCCAGTATTACTTGTTTTGTGGTATAGCTCCATGGTAAAGCTCCACTACAAGAGGAATATGATAGACTTAATGAGAGAATTTAAGAAGTGGCTCAGTACCAAGCTCTGCAAGGCCAGGTTTCTTTACAGCTCATAGCTGATCAACGCCATCTTTATCAGACAGCTGCCCAAGTTCCTGAAGGTGTGACAAACCATTTTTTCCCCCCAAATGCTGCATTTTTAATAGAAAAGCGATGTATTATTGTATAGCACTTCCACCTCTAGCACTGGCATTAATGCTACTGCTGAAGCAGCAGACATTCCCTCCAAGGGCCTATCAGCAGACATACCTTGGTAGGACAGAAACCCACGGACCCTCTTCCAGAGCAGCGAAGAACAGTTACTTGCGATTTCTCCAAACGTTCTGCAAAAGCAGTTCCTGGTTAAGGTGCACACTTGCCACTTAGACGGTGGTTTTCCCTAAAGTGTCCTTTGGGGAGGGAGAGTGCATACTTAGGCAGCAAAGAGGACTTTGAGCTGTTTGGAAAAGGGACAAATCATGAAATCAAGAAAGAAGGACTACTTGGAAGACTTAGCTAATTTGTGAACTTTGTTTTGTTTTGCTTTTTATTTTCTGTTTTATTGCAGTGAATAATAGCCTAGCTAGGAAAGGCCCTGGAGCTAGTAAGGTTTGATACTGTATGGGGGACTATTACTAACACTCAACATTATTCTAAAACTTCCTAAATCAATTTCTGATTTGTGACTGGAGGACTTGCTACTATATAAGCTACCTGGCTTATCTTTGTTGTTCTACAGAAGTACAAGAGAAATTATTTACAATGCTAGGCGTGAAATTTTTCTTCTTTCACAGATACATACATATTTTAAAGTATATATTAATAAAGGGACATTTTAATATGAAAATCAACTTACTATCTTTCACATCAAACTGTAAGGAATAACATTTTCTTCTCCCTAAGCAGCTGTGAGTCCTCCAGTCTAATCTCAAGTTTGGGGTATTCGCTGTGGGTCCAGTTTGTAGCATTACCGCCCCCCCCAGGAGTTACAAGTAAAGATTGAGGTCTTTGGGATTTCAACAGATCCACAAAAGATACAGCTCGTACTACCACACACACAACTGGGAGGCCTCAGACCTCAATTTGGGGTCAGTGCCGTTCAGATGCAAGAGAGAAGTACATTTTGCTTCAGAAGGTATCAAAACGGAGAAAGGATTCTCTAATATCCAGGTTCCTAGCAGCCCACGTATGAGTCTCATTATTTATCTAGGACAAGTAGTAAGTTTTCCACTGATCACCACTCAGCTTGAATATGGTAAACTGTAGATCAAGTACTAACCTACACCATACTGTGGTGTATTGTCTACATCCAGTGTGTTTCTGGGACATACTACAGTAGGGAGACTTGGAATACCAGTCTCAATTGGAAAAGCCCTTGCATCTGGTGTTCTCGTGGACCACAATGGCAGGGACCAATGCCCAGCTGTCCCTTCTCCATTTTCCCCTTCAGTTGTTTGTTAAAGCTACCTATACAGTAGTGACTCTCTCTTCTTCCCTGAAGCCCAAAAGCAATAGTTAAAAGCCAGCAAAAGAAAGGAACAAAACTGAAATCACAGATTATCTGGAGGAGCAGTTTTGGCAGTGAGGAGACATGGGAGTTAATGCATTTAGTCCAAAGGTGCCTTAGTTCAAAGCTGCTCACCTGAGTTTCACCAAGAACTTAGAATATGCACCGATCTCCACTGGATGCTCACTTCGCATCATTTCTACAGTCAGGAACATTCCCATCTCCCACTGAGTCTTCAGAGATGCTGCTCACCTGCAGAGAAAACGACAACTTTTCCCCACTGAAAGCTGTCTATGAAAACAAATGCTTCTGTATATCCTGAGTGCTGATGAACAAGATACAAAGCCTTACCTATGCTTGATCCTCTTTCCACTCGGTAAGGACAGACCATCCTGCAAAAATGTAAGCAGCGTATTCTACCTTGCCACACTCCTCCTTCATCCTCCTACCTTATAATCTGATACATGTAAGTGTATTTTCTTGTATTAAGACATGTAAGCTCTAGCCTAGACTTGAGGAAACTGAACATCTTCAAAGTTCAGCAACCTTCACACTGGCTCTTAAGTCTTTATTCCCTTGAGGTCCCTGATGTCTTGTCTCCAAGCACATACGCCTCTCATCACAAGTACCTTCATTTCTGAGCACACGAAGACCACCTCCAGTGTAGAATACACCTGTTTGGGTGACCTGCACTACCATGTCTTTAATGTATGACATGAAAGTCCTGGCCCCAAGAAACAATCTCGCTTCTCAGAATGCTGGGCTTGTATTGCACTTTTCCAGAAAAAAACACAACTCTCTACAAGCAGCTGGTGTACTTGGGCCCATCCTGAATTTGAAATCTGCAAAGGGGCTGCTCAGTTGGCATCGATTCACCCAAGCTTTACAAGTGGAATGCCTGTTCTCATTTTGTCCCCTGCACTGACGCTCAAATCAAGACTTTATATGCAGGCTTTGCTATGAACACTGTATTACCTCCAGCATCACTCAATTAGGAGGCATCATCAGGCCCTATTAAAAACAGTTTTTCCTCAATTACCCTACTTTTGTCCAACCTTTAAGGGATTATTAAGGGCAGTGAGTAGCACACACTTTATTCCAGTAAAAAGAGATGGAAGAACTCCTCACCTACACTGAAAAAAGGTCCATCTCTGGAACACGTGTATCAGACATTCAGGACCGGCACTTGCTTCCCTGGGGCTGAGACTGTTAGTTCATCACTTCAAAACAGGTTTACAAACAGCAGCTCTAGGACATCACTCGCCTCTCAGAACAGGACATTTGAAATAGCAGTATTCCGCATAGCAATGCGGGGGTTTTTTTCTACCACTTTTCTATTCCTTCTCCCTTAACAAGGATACTTCCACACAATTTTCTTTTGAACTTTCTATGAAGATAAAGTGACCCTGATGACTACGACAGCCAGGACAGGATCTTCTTACCTTCTGACACAATCCAAGGACCCTGTGTCTGCTTTCAACCTGATGTTTGAATCGGGGTAAGATCCATCACCTGACATTCCCTTCACATGGCGCTGTGGCTGCTAGATGGTGCCTGGCTTAGTGTGCCTACCTTTCACAGGAAAAGAAGACTGATTAATAGCAGGAAAGATCCTACAAAGCTGTAACACAGCTCGATGAAGTTGTTCTGCCTCGTGGTTTGCCAGGTTGTTTCCTTGGCTATTTTGCCTTTAACCCTAGGCCACAAACTTGCCAGTAGTTCAGGCACATTTAATGGCCGTCTTGTGCCCACAGGCAGACGATTTCTTTTCCCAACTGTTCCATCACATTACGTTTTCTCAGGTAGCAAACAAGAATATGCTTTGTTAAGAAATTTCCCAAGTGGGGACTGTTTGTGATTCTGTCACTCTTAGGTCAACCTTTTAAATACAAGACAAATATACTCCTTCGTATTCCTCTGAGGAATCACTGCTTTAGAAAAAACAAAGTTTTTTACAGAAGACCCTCTTAAGTTTTCCTTTTCACAGGGACATTTTTTGCCCCCCAAGATGACAGAGTCAAGACATGTCTGTTCCTTTTTAAACAGAACATTAAACGCAATTTTAGTTTATTTGTGAAACCTGAGCTCTCTCTACATCATTTTAAACATGTGACTGAGAGGCAGAAGTTCCAAGATTATCACATTCATCTCACTTGCCCCACGTCTAATATTGCCTATTTAACCCGCATGCCCTTTGCAAGCATTGCATGTTCAAGTCCTCTCCTCAACACCTTTCAGAGACTGGGGGAGGGGTGGGGGGCATGTGTGTTGGGGATTTTCTGCAATATATGCACTTTTGCTAGGTACAGAGATTGCTAAGGTCCATTGAATCTCTGTTTAATAGCAGGGCCTTTCTTCACAGAGTCAAAAAATTACTATGATTCTGAAGGACATGCCTTGATTACTGGGCCCTACCTACACCCAGCCATCTGATCTTAAACACAGAACTGCTAAGTTAATGTGTCCTTGTATCTTTAAACTGCATACAGAATTCAAACTTTACATGTTTTCATCTTTGTGTATTAAAATAGAAAAAGGTTGCTTCAAAAGGACAAAGGAAATTTAAGAGATGCTTAAAACATATTACATGTGACTGTCTCCTGTTCTTCCAGAGACTACAGAAGTCGGAGTGGATCATCACCTACCTGCGGCTGTACTGGAGTTACTATCCTAGTTGATCTTTACTGTAAATTCCACAGTTAAAACTACAGAAGCATTTTAGCATACTTCAGTACCACATAATCCACTTTCGCATTAGCCATCATCACTGAAGCTTGCAGAGATGTGACCACTGCTACCCCATCTACCTCAGGGCCATTTGTACCCGTGTGGCGAGTACACCTGAATGCACCTCAAAGCACGTTACAAACTGGGAGGCTTCACTTTTCAAAAGCTTAGTCGGAAATGCTTTTCCACCATTAATCCATAGGCTCCTCCTTGCGTATTACACAATGAAATCAGTACTCTTCAGAAACATTACACTGAGGGCAATAAACTGTGGAAGTTTAGCTACTGCTATTAAGAAAACAAAATTCTGTACTTCCTATTAGAAACCTGTGCTGATTTCAACAGTTAACTTAAGAAAAGCCAGACTACCTCAAAGAAGCAACTATTGGGTCTCAGACTTACTGATCACTTTGTGCCATACAAAATACTGAAGTAAGTTTTCTTGGATAGAAACATGACCACGTGAATGGCTCAGAACATCAACAACCCAAACTCTCTATCAATTTCAGATTCAGTACCATTAAAAAAAAATGCTAAATGCCATTCATGACACCATTCCCATTGTAAGATCACTTTATGCAAAACCAAGCGGCAAACACCACACGCACTGAAGTTACTTTAAATCCAATGGATTTAAGACCTTCCAAATCCTTAATTTTAACTGGAAGATCGATCTCACTGGAGTTAATCCCATAATGGGATTTTTTTTTTAAAGAATTTTCTGAGAGGTTGTGTTACCATTATGAAAACATCATGGAGCAAGGCAGCACAGATTACTCAACTACACGACTCCAGCTTCCGCTGTACTTGCTGCTAAAGCTTAAAGCCACCTAAAGCTTGTGCTACCTTCAGGACTTTCAGTGAGAGAAGTTAGGACATTCCCCCCCACCTTTATATTCAACTCTAGTCTTCTTCCATGAGCATGAAACCGGCAGCATATTTCTTCATTTGCAAATTTAAACAGATTTTAACAACGTACATGCTGTGGTTTTCTTCAAAGTAGCTTTTAAGCATCCCACTAATTCGAAAGCAAGTGTGAACTAACATACTTCTGTAAAAGAGTAGGTAACATGAATGAAGGACAATTTCACTCATCTAGTTTAAGTCAAAGTTACGTATTGGTCACTTCTTGGTGAAAGTACTCACATATACACTAGTGATTGTCACTGGACGTTTGGCTTCTGCTAAAAATATCCATTTAAACACATGTACCAAACTCGAAAATTCTGTTGAAAACTGTGAATCAGAAACAGGTTAGCTTGTTAGAACAACTGATTGCCCTGGAAGAAAAACGGTTTTGTTGCACTGTCCGATGGAAGCCTTTGGCTACAACCTGAAATGGGAACAGTCCTTCAATAGCCACTTGAGCTTTTCAGATGTAAGGACTAGGTTATTTTTATCATTTTTATCCATCATCTCAAATGCTCTAAAGATTAAAATCACCTTCCAACTGTGATACATCTGCATTATGAAAATACTAATTATAATTTATTGTAGACTGGCTCTCACCAGTGTTTAATACAGCGCTTCATTCTTAAGTGTACTGAAATTGCACCTTAAGAAAAGCCTTAATTCACTAATGGGCTATCTATGAAATTGCCTTTGTTGAATTCTCACAGAGGAAGCTTTTTAATCCCAAATTAGCTGCGTTTAGTCATATAGTTTTTAAATAACCACTACTAGTGACAGAATTAGACGCATTCTTCTTTCCACTAAGGGGAAAATAACGTTGCTTTAGATAACGGAACAATATTGGATATGGTGCACTTGGAACCAGGAACCCAGTACCTGATATGTTCAGTTCCTGGCTTTCAGTGACTGACTGCATTCATGGAAAATCCCTTCAACTACTATGATGGCTAACCCATCAGTTTAAAAATACACACTGAATGATCTAGGAAGCATTTCTGAGATTTTTAGATCTGAAGTATTTAACATTAAACAGCATCGGATTACACTCAACATTCACTTAGCATTGAAGTGGACACACTAAAATTGAAAAGTTAAAATCCGCAACCTCCCTAGTAACTGCAGTTGAGGAGTCAATTATTAACAGTCTAGTGAAGTTAGATTTTAGGTACTGCAAGTCATTTAAGTACTAGAATGTCTACTTTTACTTACCATTATCTTCTGTGCAGTCAAATGGCATAGGCTATTCTACTGGCTGTGTAGCAGAACTAAGAATGCATTTCGTAACCTCCTTAGTGCAAAGAAAATAAGCAGTAAGATTCAATGTCTTTTCTCCACATTAGGGACCAAAACAAGTAAAATTGTATTGTCACACTAACTGTGCAAACAGAGAGAGTGAACTGTCGCCATTAATCAGCCAAATATATCAGTCTCAGACTAGAGGGAATCCAGATTTCTGACACTGCAAGTTTTACCTAAATGACTGTCAGAGAGTAAGTGTTGGCTTTGGAGTAGACACTAAGTTCCGTGAACATTCAAGGAATGAGAACAACTCTTGGAACCGAAATGTATCTTGTGATTCAAACTTTAAATATTCAAGCTGTATTTAATTACCTATTACCTACATACTATGGCTGTGTTTTCTAGACTGTCACAGATGCCTTTTTTTTTAACAGAAGCTTTTTCCACGTACCCAGAAGTCTGACCATCTAAAGCAGCTTTCATAAAGATGGCTTTGAATAATCAATGTATCTCAAGGTTTCCAGAGGAGCTCAGCTATGCAACATCCACTTGAGTGCTGGCCATTTAAAAATATGTATGTTTATGGAAAAGACTAGTAACCAGTTGGCAAGAAAAAGATACCATTACATGAGACAATCACCCCCTCTCCAATTTCCAAGTAAACTAACAAGCCAGTCCTAGCGGCACTTTTCAACCTATCTATCCATTGTAACAAGGCAAAGGAGCACCAAAGAAACGTCACGCTCTCATCCTGTGGATTCTGTAACACAAGTCAGTATAATTAAACATTTGTGAAGTGTTGACCAGATGACTAAGTGAAAGTTGGTCTCCCAGAACGAAAAGAAGTTTAACATCAGAGCTTTCTAGGAAGCTTTGTTTGCACTAGATGGCTGTGAAGTAACAATAATTTATTCCTCTCCCCCCGCTACCCATATTAAGGAATCTTCAGCTTGACTTCCTCTCCTGTTGCCACATACCATTTTTATCCGTCAGAGCAAGTACAATCTGGCATTTCCTCTGCCCAACTAATGCAACTAGCTAGCCCCAGCCAAGAGATGTCATGTGCTGGTGCTGGAATTAATTCAGCAAGACACTCAGCAAAGACAGACTTAAGTCCATCACAGCAGGTCATAAAGTTGGGATTCATAAGCTTCAGGCTATGAACACAAACTCAAGCTCCAACTTTACCACTTTCAATTCTCAGAACACTATGTTGTAAAGTTTATTGCCTACTTCCAAAACTTGCTATTCCATTTTAAACAATTAACATTTCCCACTAAGCTTTCACTAATACAAGTGAGGGAATAACAGCCTTAACTTTGTGGAATCTATCAATTTGAATGTACTTTTTTCCAGAAAATGTTACACGTGTTTATGTCCATGTTGCCTTTCAGTTTCATTTCTTGGGAAGAAAAAAATAGTCTCCCCTCACTTCCGCTGTATGGAAGCATCAAATTAACTGCCAGGCTGAACAGAGAAGTTAAGCCTCTGAAGAATTATCAAAGGCACAAGGGGAAAAGAGTATTGCAGCCACATATAACATTTCTGTCCTGAAATACTATTTTGGGAATGCTACCTTCAGAGGAGGCTAAGTTTATTTTAGACTATGTTATACCCCTCACCCCAAACATGAGCAGAATTAGTATTCCTTAATTTAGGTTTTAAAGACAGTATTTAGGTAAGAGTTGTACAATGCAGAAATTCAGAAACTGGTCTCACTGTCTGCAGTAACAGCCTTCCTCCAAACACTGAACACAAACTTACGTTCTGGGTTGTAACCAATGTCCTCTTTTTAAGGAAAAAAAAAATAAAGTACAGTTGTATGTCTTATATGAAACCCTTCAAACAAAAATGAGTATTAAAACAAGAGTATACTTTAAAAAGCTGTGTATTGGAGTGTTTATAAACCAGAAGTGTTAAGCAGCAGCAGTTTCCGATTTCTTATTAAATTCAACTAGACTTCAAATTTAGGAACACATTACAAAGCAATGTGGAACTACGCTAGCTTATATTCAAACCTTTGCAGGTGCTTCAGTAAAGAGAGCCTCCCAGGAGAACAGAGGCAGCTTAATACATTAAGTCAACACTTGCCTTCAACACGCCCAGAACCGTGTGTTATATGCCCATTTGTCACCAAAGCACCCAGTAGGAGATGCATTATTGCTGTAGAACATTTCAAGTTTACCAACACCCAAGTGCAACCAAACTGATGTTGTATGTATGCACTTGCCCATTCTCACCAGTATTTCCACTTAATAAGGAACTTTTTTTTTTTACACACAATCAAATTTAAAGCTTTGAAAATAACATTTTTTTGATTTTAGTTTTTTCCCCACAATATTAATCACCACATGCAATTTAGTTTTCTGATCATTTTGCTAAAAAACTGCACCAATATCAGAACAGTGCAAATCATATTTAATTTTAAAAGTTATAATGGCTTGAGTTCATAATTAGAGGGAACACTGTCAAGATCTTGATATTTTGCTCACTCACCATTGCTTGCATTCCATTAAAAACACTTTCCTGTCAATTTTGCCTTTTTTTTTTTTTAAAGCATTTTTAACTATAGTCCCCCATGCTTTTATCAGAGCTGAAATTAAGGATATGATCCACAATTTCAACACATGTAGTGCCTTAATAGCAATGCTTTTATGCACTTCCATCAACTGTTATAATTCCATAAATATATTATTTCCCCCAACATATTTCCAGACTAAGAACTAGTCACTAGCACTTGTGATCCCACAAGCGTTCTAGGTTTTTCAGCAATGGAGAGATTTCAAGATTAAGAAATCTGAGGACTTCCCCTCTCCTACAGCCCCCAGTGTTTTCATTTTATAGCAAGTTCAAAATTGGTTTCCACATCTTGACAGTGTTCCTTATAAAACCATATGACAGTAAAAGTGCCAGTAGGCGTGGCAACCTCTTTGAAGGGAGCATTTAAACTCCTTGGCACTGGGAATGCCAGCACCAAGGATTACATTGAAATTCAAAATTATACTTAAGGCTACAATTAGCAAACCCACTTTCCATAAGCCTAATATTCTATCGCTAGATTTGAAAATTCAGAAGCTAACGCAACTGTATAATTTTATGCTCAAATCTGAGGAAAAAATTACTTTTCTTTAGCAAGGGCAGTATATGAAACTGTGGTAGCAAATGTCTCTTACGCATTGACTACTCATTTCACCATCATTCACTTACTTTGTCTTAAAGTTCAAAACTGGCAAGGCACATTTACATATTCCAATGAATACTTGACAATTTTAAATTACACTTCATGTCCCAGCTATCCCAGTAACTGACATACAACATACTAAAATGGTTTATTAAGGTAACAAAAAAAAAAAAAAAATCAATTAATGTGAAACATACAGGCTATTGGCAACCACTAGTCTAAAAATTATGTAAATACAAGTAAACATACTGAAATGTGTGCGATTCTAAGTTTTTAACCAGAAGATCTCTGTACTAACACACATTTATATTAATGACACATAAAAAAAATAAAAACTTTATTACAAAAATAAGTTACACTCGCCTCCTAATGATTGTTTGCCATGAGCATTTTCAACATATGACATGTCTAATTTTGTTAAAATTTGCATTTACTGGGGGAACTGGTGTGTATAAAACCTTAATTAGGTATAAGCTTCAATTTTCATTGTGGTGCCTATGGGTATGTAGTATAACTGCAGTATCCCTTTGGGCAGGGGGTTAAGGGAAGCTCTTTATGCCAAGTCCGAAGTAAGTTGTAATTTTATCTATCTTTTACCTATAATGAAGTCGGACTTGGCAAGGTTCTTTTGTTTTTTTTGTCTTGTCTAAGGGTGGTTCAATAGAGGATGCTTCACCACTGAACACTCACTGTCATCAAGGTGCTTTAGAAAATTAAAAACATAGCACAAATGATTGTACTCTACTCTACTCTACAGGTTATCATGATCTGCGTAAGAGAAATGGAAAGCTGATCCACACGTTTTTACAGTGATCAGCAATAAGAAATGCACTAATGAAAACATACCTTTTACCTAAAAAGCTAAACTACAGCCATATACTATTCTATGATTTATGAAAAACTTCAAAATATCCAAATGTCAGGCTTCACTGTACAGTTGTCAGTTTTAGTCTGACCTTTTATAAAGGGACACTGCAGTATTTAGTACAAGTTGCTGATGCACTTTTTTTGAACATCTGATGTCTTACAAAAGTAACATCTTGCTAAACTATTATACATCCAAATAACTACAATATCTGAAGAAGCAAGGCTGCTTTTTCAGCCACAAAATACGACAAAAGCAAGGCCTGTTATGATGGTCATGAGGAAGTCTTACAAAGCCTCTGGAACTAAAGGCAACTAAGAATGTTACATTTGGTATATTATAATCTTACCCTCATATCATATTAAACAAGCCTTGCTTTTATCTACAAAGATTTTCTATGTACAGTACAGACAGGGTATAGTTCAATCCTCTGCTACTGAGGTAGTTAACCAACCCTTTAAAAAAGGTTCTGAAAAGAACCACTATCTGGAATGCCTGACTAACCAGCTCTGATGATTACACCTGAAACTGCTGTATCTGAACACAATTCATAAGTGATTACTATATAGACAATCATGATTAACCTTCATGAGCAGAAATAAAATTTAAGGATACCAATGATGGTATTCATCTATACCACTGCAATAAAAATTTAAATGCAAGAATTTGTGAATACCACTTTTGGCATCCTTAACTAAGAAAACTTGGGGGGAAAAATCTACTTAAAGCAGATTTTTTTAAAGAACGACTTTATTCTTTATTAAGATACCATGCTAGACGTTAAGGATTTTGTTGAACACATTGGGGAAAT